TCATTCGTGGTAAGAACTCAGAATTTTTTAAACATAAACTTACATCCCTAACTTGCATATTGCATTTCAATTGACATCTTTTGAATCATAATGGCATGGAAATGTCATATGGTATTTAATTTTTCCAGCCTACCAAATTGTGAAACAAGGAAGTGGACAGTTTTAGGAGAAACAAGGGTTGGTATTTTTGCCAAGCAAGATATTTCCATAGGAATTGAGCTCACATATAACTACAACTTTGAATGGTATGGCGGTGCTACCGTCCGCTGTCTATGTGGAGCGCCAAAGTGCTCTATATTTCTTGGCGGAAAGTCTCATGGTTTCCTGGTGAAGACCTGCATTTTAAAAATTGTAGTTTCTTTTTTTTAAAATTTGAATATTTTATAGCAATTTCCTTGTCCTTACAATCCCTACTATCGTGATGCAGGAATATAACCATGTGTGGGAAGAGGGAGATGACAGGTAGTTCTCGTTGTGCCTTACTTTTTTTGCTTGCTCCAGATTTTCATCACAGTATATCAGTATCAGTAGCCTTTAACCTATGCAGATATCAGGAATTCAGGATATGTAATGGTTTCATATATGAGATGCCAATGGAAAGTAATCCATGATAATCATATAATTCCATAATTTGGAATCGAGTACTCAAGTACATTTGCTCATGAATGATGTTTAATGTAGAAAGAGCATATGCCAGAACTGTAAAACCATAATTCGTCCCATTCTTATTGCAATTATTGTAATTATCATTTATGAACTTTAAAAAGCACTTTATTGCTTTTACTCCTGTGAGAAATGTGTAGCACGGCCTTCTCTTGTGTCAATTCTAAAGCAGATTAGACCGTTTGAGGAAATCTTGAGATCATAGAGGCACCTGAAATCAGTGATGATACATTGTCAGAGCTACTAACGTAGAGCCTTGAGGCTTACACAGACACAAAGATGCAAAACGCCTCAAGGCTTAAAAGCACCTTCTTGAACATTAGATTGGGCAGACTTGTCCTTGAGCCTACCTAAGTACTTGTCCTTTGGCAGAAAATCTGAAAGCTGGATACATTTATATTGGATTTACTTAATAATTAGTGAACCGATGAAGGCTCACTTATACTGCTACCAAGATCGTGCATGAAGTAAAATTCAAACTCATAGTACAACTATTGCCAGTTGGAATCTAATAAATTAGAATCAACTAGTACTATAACGAATTGATACAACTGTTGTCATTAGAAACTATATACAGTCGCTTCCCGTACTAATCTCAATACTTTCATTATAAACTTTGAATTATTAACCCTTGTTAATTGTTTTTGCTCGGTTGCAATCCAATTGTTAGTAGGAAACCATTGCAAATATTACTAATTGGAAACTATTACTTATATTATGAAGACTTCGCTTGCACCCCTTTTTGCTGCCCATAGACTCAGACACATTCACATCAGGTTGAATATTAGGTCCATTTTGCCTAATCTTTTGAACAAAACTAACTCTCATGTCAATCTGCATGATTTAGATAATGATAGTTTAGTAGTATATGTCCGGGACTCCAAGCCTATTTGAGTTTGTAGAAAAGTATTGTTCTGTAATGTGTTATTGTGTTGTGATGTCATTGTCTTTGTGCAGATACCCAGTTGATGAAATTCCCCTGTATGACTCTGGAGAGGATGAAAATCTTATCAAGAAAGCCAGAATTCAAACTGATTGTGTTTCTAAACCAATGGACAGTGATAGTAAAGTCTACCCTGAAAGTGGAATGGTTAGTTTTAAAGAGGAAGAACATAGCTCAGAGCCAAGAGTTTACTTAGATCCCGTGGATGATGTTGCACCAGGGAAAGAACTGTATCCTACTGATTTGCAAGACGGATGTATACCTCGTCGGAATAATACTGCTGGAGTTGGTCCAATAAAGAACAAAGTGAAACATTCCCTCAAACAAAAGGCCATGTCTTCTGGACGAAAACAAGTAACGTCCGAAAATATTGCTAAACTGTTTCCATCCAAGGAATCAATGGAAGAAATTATGAAGTATGAGGTATGTGTGAATTATGTTTTGATGGTTACTCTTCTATGAGATTATTTATTTCATTGAGAGGGCGATGCGAAGTCATGGATAAAAACTTTACACACTAGCAACAAATATACCCAAATATATAGCTTGCCAATGGAGTTGATTCTTGATTGGGTTCATACTGGCTGTTTATATTGCTCAAAATGGTTCAATTCTTGCTGTCAGCAAGTGTCTTTGGTAGGGCATCCGAGGCAGGCAATTGTGTATTTCACGATATCTATCATAGGCATAACTGCTTAGGGTATGCTTTGGCATGACTGAAATTATCCTCATGTCATTCTGTTTTTTAATAGCCCCATTAAAGGACTTACTTCTGAACATATTTTTTGTCCTCAAAAAATCTAGTTTGGACAAACTAAGCTAGTTCCCATCATATTAAATGTTCATATTTTAAAAAAATACTGTGTATCTCACACAAGTTGAATCTATTAAATTTAGTTTTACCAACAAAAACAATTAAAAGTAAAGCTATATTTGATTATTTCTGATGCATATTGCTAAAATAAAAAGGTTGTACATTTATGGCTAAGTACTCGTTTTATAGGATGGCAGTACTAATTTGGCCAGGTTTAGTAATTCTGGATTATCTGTGGGTAGTCATTTGGAGGGACAATCATCCCATATTGTAATTAATGGCGTGTTGGTGTAATAATATCTATCTTATGTGGTCTGGTCCTTCAAGCTCGAAAGCTTATTAGAATTTGGAACCAAAAAGGAATTCATTTTTTATGGTGGGTTTACTCGAAAAGCTTCTTTAACTGATCCTGTGAAGTTACAATAAATTTCATGCAGGAAATGAGAAATCAGGCGAGTTCAACACTCAATTCCTTGTATGATGAAATTCGCCCCGCCATTGAAGAATATGAACGGGATAGCCTGGACAATGTGCCTACCAGCGTTGCAGAGAAGTGGATTGGAGCATCCTGCTTTAAAATGAAATCCGATTTTGATTTTTTCTTTTCCGTGGTTAAGAACATCATGTGCCCTCAACAAATGACCAACACTGAGGTGAAGGAGGAAGGTGACGATAAGTCATATGAAGTGAAGATGTTGACAAGTTAAGAATGTCATGTCTCATGTGCCCTCATATCACCGCTCTTCGTTTTATCGATTGAGCTCAAAATACAGAGTACATATGTTTGTTATGCCAATCACATTTATCTCGGATTACAATTCCTTTGTATTACCAATGATTGTGTTTGGTTTTATGGGGTTCATTTGCAACTCAAGGTTTTGTTCATCTTGAACCTTAGTTGAGCTTGTTTGGTTTGCACTTTTTTCAGTTTTTTGAAGTTCATGCTCATATTTTCTTCTCATTTTTCCACTTAAATTCATGCGCGTCAAATATTTTCTGAACGCATGTATGTTTGCCCCCTTTGTCAACATCATTCTAACTAAAAAGAAGTACTTCGTCCCCGTTTTCGTCATCAAATTGTTCTTCATTGTGGAATTATACGGCAGTGACTAACAAACAAAAACGGAGGAGGGAGTCTCTCTTTTTGTCCGGTTTTTAATTATTGATACTCCAAAATATTCTCAATCTTATCCAAAATGATTTTTGTAACGTTACATTCGAATGTTAGAGAATGTTAGAGTGTAAATATTCCAGCATTTTTAGTTTTTCAACTCTATCTGTTTTAGAAGTAACCGCATTGCATTTGAATGTACCAATTGAAACATTCAAATATAAGCAGTGTCCGTTACAAAATAGCTGCTGAAAACCATCGTACATTTGAATGTTGTATATTAAACATTCAAATCTTTTATGAGAATTTGGAAAATGGACAAGATTTTTCTCAACCAACTCATGCCTATAAATACCCTCACTCTCACTCTTAAACTTTTTTGAGTTGTTGGTTCCCATGAAATTTATATATATATTTCATTGATTTTGATCAAGAGTTTAATGTTTGTTGTAAAAATCCTTTGTTTAATCCAAGCAAAAATCATACCACAAATCTATATATCCTTGCTTGAGTTTTAGAGAAAGGAATTAGCATATTCCATTAAGCTGCGTAATCGGGCAACAATTTACTTATCAAGGAGCCTATTTTCGATGTGCAATCTATGTCGGTATATCCTTCGTATAGGGATATAAGAAATCTTAGCGTTGGGACTATTCTAAGTGGTTGTGGTCATGGTGTTGGGGCTACATCAAGTGCTCTGTAAAATCTTGATGTTAGGATTACGTCGAGTGGTAAGGCCAAAGACTTGTGTTACTTAAGTTCTCGAGTTGTAAGACTAAACACTATTAAATTTGATAGGGTAGTGGAATCTTGAACATAATTGTGTTGCGAAGATTTGATGTAGGCAGTAGGTCAAACCCGTATATATACATCGTGTGTTCTTGCCTTGCTTTCAATTCCACATTTATGTTTCCCTATTTGTTTGTATATATCACACTTGCACGAAACAATTGTCAAAATTGGTGAACACCTCTATTCAGTATTCACCCCCTCTAGAGGTAAGCACTGATTTCAAGAAATTATATATTTCTAATCGAATCAAATTGTTTTCAAAATGGTACGTGATGAATTTTCCAAAAATAAAAACTGGAAATACCAAACCATACCGTTACCCCCAAAATGATAAATTTAATAAATTACTTATACATTTTCATTTGTCATTTTTAGTAAGTTTAACTCATATTTAATTGGTGTGACTTTAACATAGTGAAACATACCACCTCCGTCACATAAAACATTTTAACTTTTACTTCTTACCCATCCTATAAAACATTTCAATTTATCAAAAAGGACAAAAATACCATTATGAAACCTCCTCTCTTCCTTATCCACCCAGACATCACTTCTACATATCTCTCTCTCTTTGTCATTTCGTAACCCTACCTTCATCCCTTATCTTCTTCCTTCACTTCTTCGTTTCCATCATCTTCTTCCTTCAATTCTCCACCTCCCTTTCTTCTTCCTTCAATTTTCCGCCTTCAATTCTATTTAAATGGGACTTTCAGATCCTTTGATGCCCACCTTCCATCTACTTACAGGTAGCGAGTAAGCGAGGTCTCCTCCTCCAAATCCTTTTCAATCACGAGACCGTGATGATTGTTGGTGGTACGACATGCAAGTTTCTATATCTGAATCCTCAGACCCAAATCTGACTTGGCACTTCGAGAAAAAGTATTTTGGAGGAGGATATCCTCCAAATTCTGTAGATGAGTAGGAAGGCTTAGAAGCAAATGAGGAGTAGGTTACCTCGAAGGAGATTGAAGAGATGTTAAATCTTAAAACCTTCTTTGAAGAACCAACGTGGGATTCAGAAAAATTGGCCCGATTCAAACAGAGTATCCTTCCATTTACATTTTAATATGCCTAGTTTATTAAAGTGTTTCATGATTTTTTTGATGTGGCAAACTGATGATGTAATCTCGTTTTACTTCATCCTCATGCGTGTCCTGTAGTGTCACCCATTTCTATGTTGGAGGCTTACATTATGTCACGTAACACCCAAACCCGCGTAACTCGAACCAACGAGTTAGCGAATCAGGTTGCAACTAATTTGGAATTCAAATGCATAATATTTTAAAAACATTTAGAACGAAACATATATTTATATTAATTTGGAAACAAACCATAGTTTAATGGGAGTAACAAAACCCAAACATTGCGGAAGCCTTTTAAAATATCATCCAAATATCCTTGTACTTTAAATAAACAAATTCAACATAATATTTAATTTAACCAAACAATATCGGGCATCCACCAGCGTCACGCTTCACTGTCCTCTAGGCTGCTCATCTAATCCTTGATCTGTACCTGCACGTAGTATTGAGAATGGAAGTATCTAATGCAAGAATAAATTCAAAGACAAGCATTCATCAACATATAATCATACAATATTTGAAGAATCATCAAATATCATTATTAATCATCATGATCAATTGTTCATCTATTTCAGTTCAAATCTTACTATTCATACTACACTTAACCTACTAGGCTAAGATTCAATCACATGAGACTAGAGTCATGGACATTCCAGACACTGTTTGGAGCAACTCTCGAAATCCTAGAGAACTTCTGTACAAAACTTTAATCCAAGACTTGTGAGTTATGTGAAGCTCGCCCCACCAGGCCTAGGTTAATAAATCTTAACATAATGGTGATTTTAATATTCTTATCAATTCCATTTAGATCCACCTAGTACTACTAGGCGACCTAATTCTCTATCACAATTCATTATTATCAATTTATCATCAATATATAAACACAAACATATTCAATTAAATCATTTAATCTAACAATTTAACAATCATGGTCACAAAATCAATGTCAATTGAACAAAAACATATTAATGAATACTAATCTATAAATCAACCCTAACGATAGATAAACCACGACTCACCTCGATTAGTTCAATGAAGAGATCCTAAATTGAAGCCTTGTAGATATTCTTGCAAACTCCCCCTACGCTCGGTGTTCTTGGTTGATGGAAGAAGATGATGAATTGGTGGTGGCGTGTGGCGATTTTCCCCCAGAGCAAAGCTCCGGTGTAATTTGGGTTAATTTCCCTCTTTTCCTTCTGGTCTGATTGCGTGCTCAAAGAGAAGACAGAAGAGGTCTGGTGTGGTAATATGAGAAAGAGATATACGTGTCGAAATATATACATGTATATGCGGTGGGTGGGAATTTCCAAAGTGAAGTAGGTTGATTTTGGGTTACGATTTCATAGTATGAGTAGGAATCAAAATTTGTTAATTTATTTATTATTAAATTATTAAAACACACACACACACACATATATAGTTTCTACGGCATACTTGTATTTTATTCTCTTACTTTATTATCTTTTTAAATTTTGGGCTGGCCAAAGCTTTGAGATTCGTAACTTGGAGTCACGCGCGGAATATACCGTTGAACTCCTCTCATCAAGACCTTCAACTCGAATATAAATTTATTTATAGAAAAGAACTTTAAAAATAACTTATTCTAGTAATGACATTTCCATTTTAATTTTATTAAATCAAAATTAGATTTATGATTTATTAAATTTTTTATATTAATATTTAGGGTATATTTCGAGGTGTTACATGTGACTTTGCATTGTCTTAATGAATGACCACATCTCTAGTAGGCCCGACCACTTTTCCTTTATGGCTGGAAGAAGTTTGGTCAACATCATTGTCAACATCACGTCTTTTATGATTTTGGGTATGGGCTTTGTCTTCAATGTTCCAATTGTTCTATTTTTGCTTGATCTTTGGGAATCTTCCTCAAAAGTGAATGAGAAAACACAAATTTTCCCATCCTAGAAACATGAACCATCATCACTAAACCATGGCCTACCAACATCAACTAGGAACATAATCTTTGGAACATTACTTTTGGACTGTAATGTTCTATAAGGATCGATTTCATCTGGTAGCGTGTAGAAAGTGGTTAAGGTTTTTTTATGTTGAACCACTTTTCATCAATATAAATGGTATCATAACAATGATGAAAGGTTGTGTTTTGTGTAATGGTATATGGACTTATGTTATCCAGACAAAACCTAAGTCTTTTAAGCTTACCCTGCTCACATAACATTGACTTAATTGCACTTGAGTGTGTCTTAGATACTTCCATGGCATAGCTAAGAGCTCTAATATTTTTGCGCTTGTTAAATGGTACTACAACCATCTTTTTTGTGTCTTTAGGCATAACCTTTTTACCTGAATTACCCTTCTACTTACATGTAACATCATTAGGTTGACCTAATTACATTTGTACCTTCACTACATTCCATATGTTATACACTGTGCGTGATGAAATGTTGAATTCCTCTGCTAGAGTGATGTAACTGCCACGCTATGGTTTGTCATCTTTTGTACTTTCTAAGAGCACATTTACAATACGTTTTCTACGTTCTTCATTTATTTTTGTCTTGTTAATGCTTGCAGTATTTGGTACTTGTGTTTCAGGAGTAGTGAAACTTAAAAATGGAACACTTACAACACAGGGTAGTGTGCCATCACTGTGTGCAGCTGTACCACTTACAGAAATAGGAGAAGTGTTAAATATATTCTTTCGTAGCTTCCTCCTCCGGCACGGCACTTCCAGATCCTTCTCTTTACAGGTCCATCGTAGGTGCTCTACAGTATCTCACATTCACCAGACCTGATATCACTTATGCCGTTTAGCAGCTCTGCCTCCACCTTCATGCGCCCCGCGACTCTCACCTCACGGCCATGAAGAGAGTTCTCCGTTATCTTAGCGGCATCGCCACTCACGGTATCTACCTGACTCGCTCCTCGACAGACTATCTCCAGGATTATTCTGATGCTGATTGGGCTGGCTGTCCCGACACCAGACGTTCCACTTCCGAGTACTGTATTTTTCTAGGTGACAACCTGATTTCCTGGTCTTCAAAACGCCAGGCCACCACTTCCCGCTCTAGTGCAGAGGCAGAATATCGGGTTGTGGCAAATGCAGTTGCTGAGACTTCTTGGGTCCGAAATGTTCTTCTTGAGCTCCAGCAACCACTACGACGCGCCACCCTCGTCTTCTGTGACAACGTCAGCGCCGTCTATCTCTCATCAAACCCAGTTCAGCACTAGCGCACCAAGCACGTTGAAGTCGACATACACTTTGTGCGAGACAAAGTCGCACTTGGCCATATCCGAGTCCTTCACGTGCCCTCTTCTTCACAGTATGCTGACATCTTCACCAAAGGACTACCTTCTCTACTCTTCCTCGAGTTTAAGTCCAGTCTGGGTATCAGACCCCCTCCTCATCCGACGTAGCCGGGAGCATGTTAAATATATTCTATATTTAATGTAAATATATTGTTTCCTATTATTGTCTACTACCTTGTATAGGATTAGGAATATATTGTTTCCTATTATTGTCTCCTACCTTGTATAGGATTAGGAATCCTTGTGTATATATAGACATGTACTCCCACATATTCAATCAATGAAATTAACCTTTCTACAAGAAGTTAACGGAACATATGTTGATTCTTTATTTTCATTATTTATGATATTCTATGATAACTTCATATGATAAAAAGATATACACATCACACATATACACATATTTTTATATGTTGCACTTATTTTTATGTGTCTACACATTTATTTTGTGTACAAAAATATTTTATACTTTGAAATATCAATAGAGAAACAAAATGTAAAGATAAAAAAATTAGGAAAAACTATATATAACGAATCGGATATTCGGATAAACGATTATTTAAACGGATGCATATTCGGATCGGATTTTAAATGGATTGGATATACAATTACCAAATCTGTATCCGTTTAGTAATCGGATATCCTTAATCGGATACGGATAATATCCGTTTAAAACGGATGCGGATATTTCCTCTTTAAACATATACGGATACGGACGGTAATCGGATTTTCGATTATCCGTTTACAACCCTAAATGTATTGAATGCTTCACTTATACTATTTATAAGAAGGTTAGTTAATTTGTGTTTTTTTGTGGGAAGTTAAAAAATTTAAGTTGAAGTTTTATAATTTCAATTTGGCTCCCAAATATGCTATGAAGGCTTAAATCCCATCCTTTTTGCTATGATGTAATGAATACATTAACTATTCATGATGGATTTGGTGTACTTCTCTCTTACTCCCTCCGTCCTAAAACTATCTTCCCTGTTACTATTCACACGGTCAAACTCAAATTACTTTCTTTACCTATTTTAGTTAGTTATTTGATAAATTAATATAGTCTTGCCACCTCTTATTTTGTAGAACATTTGATATAGTTTTTAAATATATAAATTTTATTTTTAATTTACACCTATAATCACATAAATTGAATTGGACATAAATTGAATTGGACATACACCCATCACCGATGTCACAATGACCTCTATCTAGTTGAATAATGTCCTAGTATAATACGTATGTTAATGTCCTTGGATTCATCACAGAGACATTGTGTCAATTTTCAATGTCGATTTGTTTATCCATCAATGTCTTTGGTTCTTCTCCAGATCTATACATCGAGTTGTCAGATTTGAATCATGAAGAAAAATTGTGGATGATCCTGTTCGATCGAAGAAGACGGTGAAAGGCAAGAATTGAGTTGTGCAAGAAAATGGAAAGAAATCTAGAGTTTGAGAGAGACGAGCCTGATTTGATTTAGGCATGGGGAGTGGAAGGCTAAAAAGGGGAAGTCAAGTTGAAAAAGGTACTATTCAAGGAATAAATGATAATTAGTACCATAATGGGAAAAGTAATGACTTTTAGTACTATCCGTAGCAAATCTGACAATTTTAGGACAAAGGGAGTATTAAATAATCTTTCCACTTATTATTCACTATTCATTGATTTGAAACGTCTCTTTATTTATTCTAACCCTAAGGGAAATATTGGAAAGTAAAAGACCAAAAATCACTTCCCTTAAAACATCAAAAAGTCAAATCCGGAAAAAGTTTTCTGGGATAGAGAGAGTATGTTTTTATAGAACTCTGGTACTTTATTACTTCGTAATACAACTCAAACTATAATTTCATTTGTTAACAAGTCAAATTATAATTATATTTTGTCAAAAAGTGTAACTAAACAATTACATTTGTTGAGTATAAAGTTATGTCAGTTGTTTTTTACAACAAAAAAACATTTTCAAAACGTCAAAATATTATGGTATGATTTGACATTAGTATGTCATTGTAAATCAGATCAGATCCAATTAGTTCATATCAGACCAGATCAAATCTAATCAGATCAGACCAAATCTTCAAAAAATCAGGAGAGATTTAATCAAATCAGGCATACAGGACACAACCTTAGGCATTCTATTGTTTTCATTCAGGGCAGGCCCGGTTCGTAATAGTTCAATATATTTAAAGAACATCTACTATGTCATTACTATTCAAATCGTTCGGCACGATTTCAATTTTAAACCTTATCTATTTGGTACCATATTGTTTACTTATTTATAAAATGATTTCCTATCTGGTCAGATTAGATCTGATGTGTATGATCTGATCTGATTTTAATACAGAGTGCGTGACTCCCTCCTTAATAATATAAGAGCATGGGTAGTGCGGCACTCTAAGCCCTTGCCACCGCATGCAACGTCAGGCAGAGAATTCCTTTTTGTCGCGTAGAAGTATTGTTCTTCCATGGTATGCAATCCTTGCGCGAGGCGCATCCGGGCTGTTTTTTTTAATTTTTTTAGAAAGAAAATATTTTTTTGTTAGGTAGTAGAACTATTTTTTACTCTCTCCTTCCCGCAATTTATTTTAATTTTTTCCCTCATCTTTTAACTTTTACTTATTTGTGTGTTTCTATTCATTATTTAATAAAATAAATTATTCTTGTCACTTTTTTTATAGAACTTTTGCCTTAGATTGTTAATATATAAGTTTATTTTTATTCGTATATCAATTTTTAAATAAAATAATTATAAAAAACAAAGGGTTTTGTCTCGTAATTCTAAAATTACAATTTAATTTGAGACGAATGGGTAAAATAAAATACAGAGTACATGACAAAAACAACTTTTAATAATTAAAATGTATAAAAAGATCTGTTTTTTAGTAAGTATAAATATTTTTATGATAAAATAAAGACGTAAAATAAATATTTAGAAAAAATTAGCCCAATTTTTTCAAGGACGAGAAGCATATTTAACTCTACTTAAATTAAAAAGTTAGAAAAAAGTAAAAATAAAACACACCAAATTGAGCATGATTGTAAAAAAGAGACAAAAACTTACTTGCCATTGCAGGGCAAGCTACTCTAACCTACCTGGAGCTTCAAACTAGAGCATCAAAATTTCTCTCTCTGCTAACCTACCTCACAGATTCAGTGGAAATGGGTTTTAAGCCCCGGGGCTTCAAACATGGGCTTCAAATCTTCATTTTTTCACATTTTTAAATGTACATCTTCTAAAACTAAATTTATAAAATTTAATTATTTTATTATTTAATTATATTGAAACAAGAATAATTAAAAAATAATTTAAGCGACAATAATTACATTCATTAAATTAAAAAAAATTGAAGCGACAGTAATTTTTAAAAATAACATTCATTGAATTAAAAAAAGAAAGCGACAATAATAAGAAAAATAACTTAATAAAAAAAATCAAGGTAAATTATATTTGGCCTTGATCTCTTTTTGTCTTCTCTCGAAGATCATACAATTGAAACCCGATAACGTAGAAAGGTCGGTTTCTATTATTTCGATCTCTTCCCTCTCTTCTCGAATATTGAACACCCAAAGTTGTTCAACCATTGCCCGACCGATATCGTCGTGAAAAGAAATGGAAATAGAGCCAGACCCTCTAGAACCCGAGGCAATGGATTTTGCCTTCTTTCTTCCGATCGGCCGTGGAATGGGGTCCTCGTCATCAGAATCCGCAACGTTGAAGGGAGGCTTTTGTTCGGACAAACCGATAGTGTCATCGACCTCAACCTCGGCGTCTAGGGCTGTAACGCCACGAAACATGGCCTAAATTTTATAAAACAAAATTAGTTTTGAATATTTTTGTCCAATAAGAAACATTGATACGTTTGACTAAAAATAAATGGATTTTCAAAATAATGACTTTTTATTAAAAATTTACTTTTATGGATATGTCTCGAAGAGACGAATCCAACGGTACATTTTATGAACCAATCTGATTTATAGATTTGAAGATATGACGATTTTAAATATTAAAATTTGTAACTTTGACCCATAAAATAAACTCAATTCAAAAGAGATTTCATAAGATTAGAAATCTTAATTTTTGACACTTGACAACATCATATTAATCATTTGGATTTAATTCATATATTTTTATATCATTTATATTATTATATTAATTTATGATTGAAACAGACCCGACCACTGAGAAAAAAATAAAAGTTCTCAGAAAAATATTTTGATTACGTCGAAATTCTAATTTTGACAGTCTGATTCCAAAACCACAATCCATTTTCAATTCGGAGCAGTATGAGCGAAAAAGCGCGTACCTTTTTAGCTAGTTTATCAATTACGGAGTAGGAGAATATATTAAAATCTCCAAAACCTCCTCTCAATCACGTAAGCCACCTTGTGAAATCCCTTAAAGTCTACAAGCCACCCACTACACCACAATAATCCAAATTTTTCTTTATAATACTTCACCACCATCATGAACATTCATCTTCTCCTCTCCATCTCTCCCTCTCTCTGTCGGCAGCAACAAGAAGAAGAAAAGAAAACTCCAACTCCATGGTAGTATGTTAAGGAAGAAGAAGAAGGAGCAAGAAAACCAATCAAGTGTCCAAAATCCTGAGCATAAGACAATCAGTCCACTTGTGACTCAATTCTGAAATTTTCCTTTTCTCAAAATGTTTATTATACCAAAGTTGTAGCCCCGGACGTTACGAATCCAACCCAACAAACGGCTCGCGATTTCGTTTAGTAACGAACAAGATATGGCCAAAATACCGGGACTGCGCCAGTGGTGGCGAGCTCCTCAGGTTGGCATGTTTTCCTTCACCAAAATTCATATTATTTCATCCCAAATACTTACCATAAACTCTCTAACAATTATTAGGAACATCCGGAAGGTATTGCAAAGAAAGTTTGGCGTTGGAATGTTGAAAATAGTGAGTTAATCGTCGGAATCATGTTCATCGACATACCCGAAATTCTGGACAGCAACTTTCTATTGACTTCAGGTCCGATTTACGCTATCTTACATATGTTAAAACGAAATACTTTTTATACGAACGTTGTAGCCTTACATCTTAGGAATCCAGAGAATCAAACGGTTTGCAATTTCGTGAAGAAACGATGGAGATATGCCCAAATTACCACAGGTTGTCCAATTGTGGCGGAAATGACAAAGTTGGCAAATTTCGATGTTGTTTCCACTCCCGCTCATCCGTAAGGTTTCAGATGATGATTTCCAGGTCTGTACCTTTGCGTTAGACTTGTCGAATCATTCATCACATACATACATGAACATATATGTTATTCCATATGTTAAAACCATTCAAAAATATATATGTGATACATATATAAGTTATCTATATGTTGAGATCAAAATACACCAAATCCATAAAGTTAATATACACATAAGTAAATATAAACTTTGGAAATCAACCCAACAATATGTATATGTTAATCAAAGGTTCTTAAAAGACTTAAAGAAGTATTTTGGACACTCAAAATATCAAGAGAAAGATTCGCAAACCCAAACGGTCGACGCAAACGGTCGACCGTCGCGTTAAACATCGAAATGGACCCCGACTGTCAGACAAACGGTCGACCGCCGGTGGCCAACGGTCGACCGTCTCCTGCCCAGCCGAGAATCGCCGTCGCCAGCCAGTCAACAACGGTCGACCGCCGGTCAACCACGGTCGACCGTCACGGTGTTCCGCCAGCCCGACGTAATGAAGGTCGAGGTCGACCGTCGCGCCAAACGGTCGACCGTTCCGAGCCTCGTAGCTTAATTAAATGATATTTTTATCAGATTTCACCCAAATAAAATAAAGTATATTCATCCATTCATATTGTTTACAAATTGTTCATATCATATGACTCATATCATCACACATATTGTAGCATATCATATCATATGCATGCGTAAGAGATCATACGTAATTGCGTCTCTTATAGCGTGATGTGCGGGACTTAGCAGTCCGACATCACCCGTTCTGGGCTTAGTGTATGTACATGGTATTCAGGCTTTCGAGTACCACCCCCATTTTTCTAGTCTCACCTCATTCGTGAGACTAAGGTGGCGTGAGTTCGTCATACAACCTGGGCGAATCTCATAGCGCAAGGGTCGTCCTTGCACGTTTAGGTTCATGCATCATGTTATCATCATCAAGTACATTGATTACATAGGTGTCATGCAATCATCATCAAGAACAATCAAATTGATTAAATGTGAAATCATGTTATCATCATCAAGTACATTGATTACATAGGTGTCATGTAATCATCATCAAGAACAATTATATTGATTACATAGGTGTCATGTAATCATCATCAAGAAAAATTATATTGATTAAACATGCCATCAGGTAATCATCATTAAATATCCACCATCATAAATCATCAAATTGAACATATGATATAATGTGCCATATCATGAATATTATTATACATTTTGTGGACGTATATATATGTATATGTATATGTCTGAATTGTTCTACAATTCTAGCGTGGTACCACTCAGCAGTTTCGCTGAGCGTGTAGTTTGTATTTTTCGTTGACTACACGTAGGTAACAAGAGGACAATGACGGAACCACTCCCGGAGGGCATTGAGTCAGAGGAGATGCAAGGATGGCAGGCAAATGTTGATCATCAGATTTTTAAATGTGTCATAATTTGATTATTATTGTACTTCTGCATTACTCTGAAAATATTTTTTAAATGGGTCGCGATCCAGAGTCTGTAAATTTGATATTTATAAGTAATTGTCATTTTCAAATGTCAGGCGAAATTTTTAATTAACTCTCGTTTCACCTTAATTCGTGTAATTCCGGGTTATACGGATTTGGGTGTTACAAGGGCTGTAAACGGATAGCCGAAAATCCGATTACCGTCCGCATTTGTATCCGTTTAAAGCGGAAATATCTGCATCTGTTTTAAACGGATATTATCCGTATCCGATTACTAAACGGATACGGATTTGGTAATTGTATATCCGATCCGTTTAAAATCCAATCTGAATATGCATCCTTTTAAATAACCATTTATCTGAATATTCGATCCATTATATATAGTTTTTCCTAATTTTTTTTATGTTTATATTTTGTTTCTCTATTGATATTTCAAAGTATAAGACATTTTTATATACAAAATAAATATGTAGACACATAAAAAATGTGTATATGTGTGCTGTGTATATCTTTTTATCATATGAAGTTATCATAAAATATCATAAATCATGAAAACAAAGAAAATAATTATCCCATAACAAATTATAGTTGATTTAATAATAGTTTGACTTTAATTTAATTTAAAATTAAAGTATTGTTTAATTTGATTTTAAAATTTGGAAACGGATACGGATATATCCGATATCCGGCCGATATCCGACGGATGCGGATACGGTTTTGATTTTCAGTATCCGTCAAGATCCGTATCCGAATTCGATATCCGACAAAAATAAACGGATACGGATTTGGTAATGGCACATCCGATTCGATTAATATCCGTTTACACCCCTATCGGCGTCGACGGAGGATCTTTCCTTTAATGCTCTGTTGTTGGAATTGTTGAGTTGTTTCCACTTCGGTGAACGACTCAAAATCCTCCAAAGATCGATGGGCACCTTGCCTTGGTGCCCGTCATCTTGATAACGGTCCGTGGCAAGCCGGAGAACATCGGCGTCGTTCGTCCCGCTCATCTAGGACCGGGCGCATTCCTCGTAAACTCTGATAAACTTTTGGACTTTACCGGGTACGGTAAGATCCGTCCTTGTTCATCGCCGTAAAGAAGTTCTCCTCGATATAATCTCACATTGCATCCTTCATTTGCTCCGAACCTTTAAAAAAGTATAACACGAAATTTTTTTAACTCAAATATATAACACGATTATATAAATAAAAACATAAATATATTAGAAAACATATGGGGTAGTTTTTACCAATGATAGAATGTTCGGAGATGTCAACCCAAGACGATGCCAACAAGCACTTTTCCTCCGGTGTCCACTTTTGGACTGACCGTGCCGCCTCGATCATTGCTGGAGTGCCTTTCGCTTTGTGGCTCTTCCGGCGTGCACTTTTTTTGGTGCCGGATGGTTCTGGTTGAGTCTCCAGAACCGACTCTCGCTCATAGACGTACACCGATGGTTGCGTCTCGAACATCATATCGACGGATTACTCCTGAATTGTTGGAAGATCCACATGGCGTGCTCGTTAGGCTCGAGATCGTCGGGGAAGAAGCCAGAGCAGGAAGGATTCATGGTGACAAGAGAGTTGGAGAATTGGAGAATTGAAGTAGATGTGAAGAAGATTGATGAGAATTGGAGATTGAAACGTGTGAGAATTGGAGGCGATGGAGTTTGAAATTTATAAAAAAAATTAATTAATTTTTTTGCTTCCAACGGCTAATTTAGCCGTTATATGGGGGGGAGGTTGCGTCAAACGTATGACGCCGAAGCAATGATGCCACGGTGAAGCCACAGGGGAGCGGTGTTTAACGCCCCCTGGGCGTTAAAATGGCAGTGACGCTGTGGGGCGTCACCGGTATTACCATTGCCCTAATATCATGCCACTATGTGACTAGATTCTATTGATTGATACAACAGTGTCATATTAGTGTGTGTCATTCTAGTCAAAAAATTACTCTAACGTCCCCTGGTTTTTTTGTTGATGACTTCCAGGTCCTACATTATCTAACATATACTTCATGACATCTTAAATTTTCTGATAAAAAGTCTTGAGTCTCATATTATCTGAAATATACTCCATGATCCTTAAAATTTGTGATATTATACTTTGAAGGTACATTCCATCCATTATGCGTTAGGATTTAAAAGTTCTTTTACTTTGAGAAATCAAAAAATTTTATTTAAATTAAATAAAATAATGATTATGAAGGTAAAATTTAGCATTTATCAAGGTACCAAAACTTTTGATCTTAATAGTCAAATAAAAGGAATGTACCCAATGAGTACATTATCACAAACGTGAAAATCACCGTAGTATATTTTAAATAATATGGGACTTGAGAGTTATTACCATAAGATCGAGAATACGGCGGGATATATTTCTTTTAGTAATTTTTTGCATTCGAGCATATGACTCTCCATTAGTTATCTCACTCCCTACGTCCCAAATTATTTGCCACATTTGTTTTTTCAACAGTCGTGGGAATTTTTGTTTATTTCTACGTTTTCATTGGTTATTTGATAAAATAAAATATTCTTGACACCTCCTATTTGGAAGAACTTTTCATATAGTTTTTTGATATGTAATTTTTATTTTTTATTTCTTTACCAATATAAATAAAATGAATTGAAAAAACTTAATATTTTGCCTCGGTAATAAAAATGTGACAAATAATTTGGGAGGGAGTGAGTATAATGTTTCCTACTCCCTCCGTCTTATAATAATCTTCCCGGTTCGCAAAACGA